TCTGGAAATCGTGCTCACAAACGCTAGATATGTGCGACTCGACAGCTATATTCTTTAGATCCTGATCACCGAATGGCTTATGGAATGACAGGATTTAAATGACGCGATTATGACACCATGGATGCCTGTGTTGCCATGAAATAGTCTCTCCGAAATAGTCTACACGCCTTTGCGGGCGCATAGCTCGGAAACTAGAGCCGCTTAGGGCCTTAAGAGGAGCAGAGCTCCGAACTTCGTCGAAAGATTTTTTATTGTGACGATTTAGCCTATCGTATAGTTAAGAGCATGGTAAACGTGAATGATTTGTGAATCAGTTCAAGATGGCTATTTCAGCTCAAAACCTCATACAAATGTGAAATGCTGCTTTTTGTGGGCTTATAAAGTCGTCCGATAACAATAGCAATGCTTTATTGCTCGAATTCACTGCTTGTGGGGAAAGTGGCCAGTCCGTCCACATTTGTTGTAACAACTTTTATTAGGTCACGCAGTCGTGTGCAGCAGATATTAAATACCTTCAGATCTTTTCTTCTGTTCTCTTATGGTGCGTCTGTCTCTCCCATTTTGCGTCACGCCGTGTCCGGGTCAAGCGGTGGTCTGTTGAATGGTGATATTTGGACACGACATGCGGGCGCATGAGGCAGCTTGCACGAGTAGCTCGTGATTCGCTGCGGCCCAGGGGTTCGGGTGTGGCACATCTGGGAGGGCCAATTTAGGTCCCTTGGTTTTGCATATCCTGCCCGAAAATATGACCAACGGCAAAGACGACCAGCAGCTGTTTGAAACCATGACCACTTTCGGTAACTGGAAGTCTGAGCGACAAGAAATTGGTTCTCTTCGGCGGAGAATTAAACGCAAAATCGTGTGGTGTCAGATATTTGGTCGTACATGACACGTGGCACGTACATAGAAGCGGACAAGATGGACTTGCCAATTTGTAATAGCTTCCCATGTTTTGTGCCACAGCTCGTCAGCCAGAGTGGATGGAGACGTGAACCCACAAAGCGAGCGTGTGATGCGTACGTGTGCCATGATGCCAAACTACTACTGACGCGGTTGCGTCAGTAGTAGTTTGGCAAGCCGGGAATGTGTGTCTTTCGAAAAATGGCGATGACTCTAACACGCTGTCGTCGAAAATGTATCCAGGGTCATGCTGACATTTGCATCATCGCGTTCGCCGATTTATTGCCTGCATGCACGACTCATCTATTTGCCGTCCTGTGCGCTGTACTGTCTAAGCATCAACTATACCAAAAGGGCTGCAATTCCACATCTTCGCGTTGCCAAAATGCCGCCGGTTGGTTGCTTAGTCGCCACTGGAGAGTATTTTAAGTAATTTGGCGAAATAATGATGAAACGCGCACGCGCCGTGTGTTGCCGACGTTCGGCAGTCATCATTCATTTGTTCGTTTCGTTGCTGAAAAAAGGTAAGCCACAGTGACGATCAAATCCATTAATCGAGCCCGTTGAGTCGAAAAATATCAGAAAAACCACACATATGGAGTGGAGAATCATTTGCAACGGTACGATGAAAGGACCAAAAACTGAGGTATTTTTTCAGCGAAGCCAACTGCTACGGCAAAGCAGCACGCCCGCTGTCTTCGCGGGGCGTGTTGTGAAGTACAGTGTATGGAAACACAGCAACATTGCAGCAGCAATGACGAGTGTCAGGAGGAGAAATGCTGATGGTTGTGAACATTAGCGAGGCAAGCATCTGAAGTGATAGCAAGGACGTTTCATTGAAACTTTTGGAATGCACGACACCATGCCAGCCGCAGTGGAAATTTGGAGAACATGATTCGAAAGCTGGACAATCTCTGACGTTGTCTCAGGACACCGTGGGCTTATTGCATCAGAACGCCTCAAACGATGTTTTTAGAGCCTATATCCCAATATCTTGATGCGCTCCATCAGCTTCAACGTATGATTATGTGACGCGAATCGGCGAGCGCTATGGCAGCGTTCATCGTAGGTTCTAACACTTCCCTCCAAGGTGTTGACGAATGCTTCTTAAAAAAGATGAAATGGAGTTCTTCAGATATTTACGACAACTACCTGCCGGCACGCACACGCGTATAACGAGGGAGGGAAGGAACGAGATGACACCGAGCAAACGAACAGGCGCTTTTTAGTGCAACCAGAAATAACGCAAAAACAACCGTCCATAGAGCACTGCAGGTCTTCTCATGCTTTTCGACGAGTCAGCTCAATCCCTTAGCGACGTAAGTCCACAGTCACGAGTATTACGTAACATAACATTCAAAAGAGGTAATATGCTACGTGAGTTTTCTACGCAATCTTTTTTTGTCATGCGAAGAATAATCCCACCCATCCCGTAAATGCCATCCCATTCCACCAAATGCCATGATATCAAAAAATCGTGAAGCTTTTGGGGATATTTTTGTTTCCCCCCAGTGCGTAAGCTCTTGCTCTAAGCAGTGAAAGAGAAAGCGACTAATTACCATGCGAAGCAGGAGTAAAAATTTTGCCAAGTAAAATGTGGAGCAGTCAGGCCAGGCCTTCTTCCATATGCGTGATATCTTGTCTGGTAATGCATAATTGCATGTTCAGATGCATTACGTCAACCCTTTTAATATCGTCCTTGCCGAAGACGTCGAGGTGCGATGGAATTTCTTAATCACATCAATCTTAGGCTATTCTCGAGTCTGGAAGTGGCCTTCTTCATCAGCTAATGCGTTACGGACATAACGTCAGGACTTATGACCCCACAACCCTGGCTGAGCCACCCCTTAATGCCAAATAAATTATCTCAAAGTAGGGTTAACGTGGTGCGCACGTCTGACGCTCTTCACTGCGTTTCATTGCCATATAATATCGCACACTACCTTGTCCAAATAATGTCAAAGGACAGGAGGTATCGCAAAATGTTTCGAACGTGTAAGAGAGCGTGCTACTTTTTTGTACTTTTCACTTATAGCTACATCAGACGCGTCCGATTTCATCGATGATGCCAACTTTATCAAAATCCTTCTGAATAGTTCAAAATTTCTAACTGAAAGTCGCCGCTTTGGCGGGAAAAATTAGATTGAATTCACTGCACATCACTATAAAAGTAGTGCTTTTCATTTGCTTTACTTTTACCGCGTGAGTCCTGCAACGTTTTCAATAACATAATTGGTCAGAATACTGAACTATACACGCTGCTAAAGCTTGGAACACTCTACTCGGGGGAAGATATGCAAGAAGGAGGCCATTATCACGCAAATTTAACGGAACGTTATGCTATAGCTCTGATGTATTCCTAAGACTCGTTTAGTACAGAAGCTTTTTCGCTGCGTATTCTGGCTTTGACAGATACATCACACGCACTGGTTCAAAAACCATCCGAAGCGCCTCCCGGCAAATGACATTCGCAACCCGCTGTGCCAGTCACAAACGCTTATTAGTACCGACGTCTTTAATCATTCATACAAATAGAGGTGCCAGCTCTAAGTGCGTGGACAGTGCAATTGCGCAGACCCGCAAACCTGTCGTCAGTTGTGGTCCTAGCCTTTTTCTCTGGGGCTACAAAGAAAAAAAGAAGTGTAGTGCTGTGACAAAGCATTGGCAGCGTAATTTGAACTTGGGCAGAATTTAAATTCATTTCTTTGTTAGATTTTGATGGTTCCGTGGTGGAACTACCCGCTGCTATTCATAGATGTATCTAGTGTTCAGGTTTCAATAGATGATGTTATTAGAGTATGCCCCACAGGTGGGGCACTCGCTTTAAGGGTGTGATTCTTTACACTAGTGATGTTGTCCAATTACGACAATTATGTCAAGCCAATGTGCGGATCAATTTCGGTTGATTTTTTTCTGACAGCTTCCTTGCAGGGGCAACTCACAATTGCCTGGAAGAGCGGGTAACAAATGATGCCCGGATCCCAGCGTGCCTGAGTTTTCTACTGTTCAACTGGAACATATAAGTGAGGACTGTGGTGCAAGTAAAACTTTAAATTGATCTTCCACCTTAAGTCATCTGGGTGTAGCTTCCCCGCACTCGTTAGACGGTGGGTACCCGACGATGCCTACCACGCTGTTGTATAATGTAAGAAATGGTTTCACGCCGCACTTATTTGTAGCTATCTAACAAATAACACATGTATCTGTACTAACTGAAATGAATCACACTTTGTCCAGGAAATATTTATGAAAGTATGCTATACTACAATGTACGCTATGTCTACGTCCGGCGCGGCTTAAAACTATTGAGTCCCGTCAGAAACATTTCTGTGATGCATTGTGCAGAATCTTGTGACATCCACTCCCGATTCATAAATCATGTCCCTGTTTTATGTGATTCGCTCTCTAGTCTGCAGTGTTTCTGCAACATTTTTCCTTCTTCGCAAGTAACGAACTGAAGTATAAAAGCTGGTCGAACAGCAACGCTACCTGCGGGCGTATGGGGCACATCTCGCGCTGGAATATGGGCATCAGCGTATGTGCTTTGCCAAGGAGTTTCAGCTTTCATAACTCTCTCCGAGCAAACATGCCTTATTTAGGCAGATGTGAATGAAGAGAGCATAAAACAGTGCCCAAATATCCGCCTGAGGAAAGAAGCACCGATAAGCTACCGCGCACTAGCCGTAGTTGTGCGCCCGTTTGAAGCGGAGTTTCAACCCAGGCGCATTTCACTACGGGCCTTTTCAACCGTGCACAGATGCATATTACAGATCTGGCGGCTCAAACACACCCACTTTTGTCAGAGCTTTATCGGCTTTTCCATGGTCACCGCTCGTCGCCGCGCCGACTTACCACCGGTAGTCTCCGGCCCCTGCTAAAAGAAAACAGCCATTTTGGCGGGCCGTGTCCGTAGGATGGTAATCGGGGTTTGTAAATACTGCGCCTCTGCCGAAGTGTGCTGGCTACAGCACATTGGGCAAACTAGTAACCAGACCGATTTTACTCTAAGTACGGCGGAGGCCGCACATCTGCAGACGGCTGGCCAAACAGAGCGCGCGCATCAAATTCGCTGGATGCGTGGCGGCGAGGTTGTAGCGGCGATGACGGCCGTCGGAGTTTGTCATACGATGAAGACTAAATGCCCAGGTTTCCCGCCGGAATGCAATGTTTCAAATAACGTGGTTTTGCCGAAGCAGGGCGTCATGCGAACTGATGCCAAGTGTGCTAAAAGATTACCTGTTCTATAATGGACATAACCTAAGCCAATTCCGTTGAACATGTTTTACGCTGTAGATATCGAATTCGTGGTAGCACGGGATCGGGTGAATTATCTTTCCGAACTGACATCTCAAACGGAAAATCTAGCCCATTTGGGGTTAAAATCCGCCAAAAGCGTGTTTGCTGTGCGAATGGGACGTGTTTTATCTGGCTCTGCGTAAACTTTACATCTGCAGTGCGACACCTTCGCTTTCAACAAATCCTCGCCCACGCTCTACGCTGCAGCAAACAGTCATCCAGACGCCAGACACCCCCTGACATTTCTCATCACGCCACTCCGCTACCCCTCGCCTACCCCTGACCTGTCAGCTCCGGCGTGCCAGCTGTGCCGAAAGTGCTTCGTTTGCGCCGAAAGTGACCTGTCGCGGCGCCGCCTCAGGGTCTGCCGCCCCGTCCGGCCAGCCCCGACCGTCTGTTGCCGCCGCTCGCGGACTTTATTCAAAAATGGCGCGGCGCAGTCAACAACCGCAGGGAGCCCGACAAGCCGGTGCCGCTCAAGAGCAGCGGCGAGCGTGGCACCGACGGCGAGGTCTGCCTCGTCAGCAAGAGCCCGTACCGCATACTGAGGGTGAGTAGCGCCACCGTTTGCCGCAGGTGAGTCACGTCATAGTCACTCTAGACTTCGGGTAAGTAATGCCGTGGCAGGGTGAGTAGCGCCGCCGTTTGCCGCAGGTGGGTCACGTCATAGTCACTCTAGACTTCGGGTAAGTAATGCCGTGGCAGGGTGAGTAGCGCCACCGTTTGCCGCAGGTGAGTCACGTCATAGTCAGTCTAGACTTCGGGTAAGTAATGCCGTGGCAGGGTGAGTAGCGCCACCGTTTGCCGCAGGTGGGTCACGTCATAGTCACTCTAGACTTCGGGTAAGTAATGCCGTGGCAGGGTGAGTAGCGCCACCGTTTGCCGCAGGTGAGTCACGTCATAGTCACTCTAGACTTCGGGTAAGAAATGCCGTGGCGCCCTTTGTGGGTTAGTTTACCGCAGGAGTATGTATGTGGGCATTGTTGTAGCGTGCTTCGGCTAAGCTGTATGTCACAGCATACGGCGGGTAAGTGTCGCCACACAAATGCCGGGCGAGGGACGTCACAACAGGAATACGTGAACGCATCCATGTCTGTTTTAAGGCAAGGGTCGAATGAGATTTTAAGCTATTGAGCAAGGTTTTTGTTTTTTTCGAATTTCGAATGGTTTCACGGGTGTGTTTAGCCTACACGATTTCCTTAGAACTGCGCGATGAAAATCCCTAGTCGCCGAAGCAGCGAGGGATGCACCGAAGTAACGGACGTGAGAAAAAAGGTCATAGCTTACTTCCGCCCTTTTTGCTATGCATAGAGATTTTCTATCAAAAGGAGTGTCCGACCTTTGAGCACCATCAAGACATGAAAAGGATATCAATTTTAATTAATTTTTTAGGTCCAATTACGCTATCAACGCCTTGTAACAGCACTACCCTTCCTCCCTGCAGACACGACCATCGTCGTCATGGCAACGACCTTGCGAACCTCTACTGGTGCAAAAAAGACATTTTTGGTTGGCCAAGCGAGTAAGGAGCCTCTTACCGAGAAGCACATTGGTTTAAGTTTGAACCAGTGCGTCACAAGGATCGTGTGGTACTTTCATCCTCAAAGATAAAAGTGCGTCTCGAAAAGAGCCGCTGTGTTGAACGCCATAGGGGTGAAATCAGTCATGGTAAAACGTTTCTTTGAATTCGCGGGATAATAGCTTCATGTTTGCATATTGTCTGAGTAGTGTTACCATCGTTCGTAGCATTTATTGCACAAACATTTTGGCACATAAGTGTGTTGCAAACATAGCAGAACACACACCTTGGCAAAAAGCAAGCAAATGCAGTGAATCACTGTCGTAGTAGCGAGCTGAAAGTTAAATGAAACTTCTCCCGCACGGTCGGCCACTTCAAACACAAATTCTGACCTACTCAGAAGGGTTTCGAGAAACCTATTATGACTAATCAGATCGCACGCGTTTGATTTAACAATAAGTGGAAAGCACAAAAGTGGGATGTTTTATTTAAGCTGGCAGCCTCTAGCTAACAATGCTTAAAAATCTTAACCCTGGTCTTGATTCCACCGTTTTCCATAACGCTTACTGATAGGGGGAGGGTGATGCGATCCCCGTGCCGTTTCCAAGGCAATGAATTAAATCCCGATTTTTCTGAGATCTCAAAAATCCCGATTTTAAACTAACAAACACCAAAATATTCACCATAGAAAGAACTAGCGTCCGTGAAGAAGCCTGACCTCTCAAGGTCACCTTAAAGGTCAAACGCGGGCTCAAAAGACGGGAACTCCATATCACCCAACAATTATAGATCGATTTTTAACTTACAAGCACCGGAGTATTCACCACGGAAAAAAACTAGCCTAGCGTACGTCAAAGAGTCCTGATCTCTCAAGGTCACCCTTGAAGGTCAAACGCTGGCTCAAAGGACGTGAAACTCCATATTATCCCAAAAACACCAGCCGACTTAAAACTTGCAAACATAAGAATATTCCCCAAATAAAGGACTAGCGCCAGTCAAAAAGTTCAGAACTCTCAAGCTTTCCCTTTCAAGGTCAAATGCGGCCTCAAAGAACGGGGATCTCCACATCATCCAAAGATTATCAGCAGATTTTTAACTTTTAAACATCAAAATATTCACCACAGAAAGAACAAGGGTCCCTTAAAAAAACTAGACCTCTCAAGATCATCCTTGAAGGTCAAACACGGGCTCAAAGGACGTTGAGCTCGTGTCCGTGAAGTTAGCGATTTCTTCAGCGCTTTTTCAGCGACGAGCTCCGATTTTCTGAAAAGCGTCTCAAGGTCAATTGTGGCATGAAAACACCAAAAATGACCCTTATTTTGCGATATCATGTGACCTTCAAGGTCAAAAGCTGGGTTATGGGACGGAGAACTGAATATTACCCAAAAATTATCGGTCAATTTTTAACTTGAAAACATCAGAATGTTACCCACAGAAAGATGTAGCGTTCGTCAAAAAGTCCTGGCCACTCAAGGTCATCCTTCAAGGTCAAACGCGTGCTTAAAGGACGGGGAACTCCATATCATCCAAAAATTACCGGCCGCTTTTCCCGTCCGTTCTTCCCGTCCCGTTCCCGTTCCCTTCCGAGTTTCCCGCCTTTTGAGCCCGTGTTTGACCTTGAAGGGTGACCTTGAGAGGTCTGGACTTTTTACGCACGCTAGTTCTTTCCGTGGTGAATATTTTTATGCTGTGAGTTAAAAATCGGCCGGAAATTTTTGAGTGATATGGAGTTCCTCGTCCTTTGAGCCCACGTTTGACCTTGAAGGGTGGCCTGGAGAGGTCAGGACTTTTTGACGGACGCTAGCTCTCGCACTTTTGAATATTTTGATGCTCGCAGCTCTCAAATCGGCCGGTATTTTTTGGATGGCATGGTGTTCCCCGTCCTTTTACCCAGCTTTTGACCTTGAAGGTGACATGCTATTGCAATATAAGCATAACTTTTGGTGTTCTCATGCCACAATCGACCTAGACACCCTCCTTCAGAGAGTCCGGAACTCGTCGCTGAAAAAATCGCGGAATAAATCGCTAACTCCACGGGCATTGGGGGTACAGCAATACGGCGGCTGTCGGGGGACCTCTGCTAACGAGCTTCACTCTGCATGAAGACCGCGCTTCGAGGTTTGGGCGGGCGCTCGAACTGGGCTCCAGCCAGGGCAGTAGGCACAGAGAGACGTAGCGTTGCGAGCATTCAGGCTGAAGTGTTTGGTGGGGATAGACAGGCGGGGGATGAGTGTAGTCTTTATAAAAACGTTTAATGTCCGTTTAAACGTTTATAAACGTCCATGTTTAAATAGCATACAGAGAGGCTGAAAAGGGATATTTCCATACGCTTTGATTATTTGTTTTTTTTAGATCGAGGGTGTGTTGAAAAGATGCGTGTGTTCACAATAAGCGGCCAACATCCATTTTCAAACTTAAAGTTTTCGGCAGGGTCCCGAAAATTCATAGGATTTTGCAATAAGATGACGGTTACTATGTTAGCAATTTATTCGGGAAAGCCCACAACAAATCTATCATAGCCCCAAACCTATGGCATGACCATAGCGTACGCATCATCAGCCGACCAATCAATGGAAGTACCGATAGCAGGAAACCACATTGATATGCCACTGACCGCGTCCCCCCCCCCCCCCCCCCCCCCCCAGTGGTCATGTGATACGCATTACTCATTTTCTCAGAAGAATAAATTACGTCCAGTGCAAAATCTTCAGTGACACTTTTCCCATGACTGCCTGCCTGTTGGCCACTAACCCAATCGGGACATAGCTGTTGAAGTCACCGAGGAGGAGGAGTCGATTTTATACAGATCAAGGGTGTGGTCATGCAAGAGTACCTAGCATGCAACAGCCTGCATAGGTGTGTTGAAAGAAATCCCCACATGAACAAAATCGTTTGAGGTGTGTGGAACTGCCCCGCCTTGGTGGTGCTCCCATTCAGCGTCATTTCGACCATGCAACGAATTACTGGTCGGCGCGAAATGGTAAGGACCAGTCGAAAGAACCGATATTTCTTGTACTGATCGTAACTGACGCTCTAATCCCAGATGCCGAGTGCCGTGACAAACCCAGACTACGAAACACGTGCTGGTGCCTCCTATCATCAAGTCGCCCGGGGATTCTGACTATCCTCCCAACTTCCGTTCAGTCTTCATCTTTCCTGACATCTCCAAGACGATGGAGAAGCTGGTACATCGACAGCGCCGCCTCTGTCTGAGGCTCAACCAATTTCCTTCTCCATTCCAGCACGGTTTCAGGCTTCGGAACCTTACTGCAACATCTGATCTTGACATTCCGGATCATGTGCCTTTGTAAAAGAGGAGGGAAAACCCATTTGCTTTGCGTCATTGACTTCAGCAAATTTTTGGATGTCATCGATTGATATGAATTGCTTGCAAAATTGCAGCTTCATCGTTTCGACACGGCATGGTTTCAAAGCATCCTTATGGTCGTAGGCAAGGTATCTGTCTCTTTGGTTCGCAAATGTCTGCTCCACAACCAGTCCACTTGGGTATCTTTCACGGCCCGTTCCTCGGACCCCTGCTCTTCACCGCCTTTGCCGACAGCCTTTGCCTGCATGACACTGACGCTTTCGTAGTTCAATGGACCGACAACACTCAGTTTTCGTCTCTAACCAAAACTCCGCTTTCCCGGAGCTAAGTGATGACATTGAGTCGAGTCTAGCGCCATTTGATACTTGTTGATCTGACGGCCTAAAGGCGAATGATACTTAATCTCAACTTTTTCCTTTAGGCACTAGACAAAATACATGCAACACACCCTTGTCTACAGCGAAAATCCGCGACACAGCTCTGTTCACTTGCACCAAAGCCGAACATTGTCCCTGCAGGGATTCGCATGTCACTCAGTTGTCTCGGAAGTGTGCTGGACCCCCGTCTGCTGTCTGCTCTTTACCGTCATTGCCTTCCCTTTGGTTCTTTGCTCACCATTATTACCGCCATGGCTTCTGTTTCTATTTTTCGGTGCCAAGTTTTCGTAAATCGAAAATTTATCACTTCTGTAATTTGAAAACCT